CTACGCGCTGGTCTCCTCGAACCACTCCAACTCCGTTTTCTGTTGAAAACTTCATTACAAGGTGATAGGCAGAGGGAATGACCCTTATAGAATTGAGCGAGGGCCTTCCAAGGAGCATATTGTATGCTGAAGGTGCGTCAACCATTAGGAATTTCACAACTGTAGTAGTCTGACAGGGTGGGTCACCTAAGGTCAAGATGAGTTGAATTGACCCCAGGGGCAACACCCTTTCTCTTGGGAATCCCAATAAGTGGGCACTTACTGGTTCAAGCTTTTCCCTTCCTATATCCATTTTTCTCGAAAGCAGAAGCAAAAATGATATCTGCTGAGTTGCCATTGTCAATCAAAATACGATGGATAGTCCTGTGGCCACCACAACTTTTACCACTAATGGGTCATCATGGGGATGTTGGAAGCCCTCTAGATTTGAATCTGAGAAAGTGATAATCGTGTCTAAGCGTGGAGATTTAGACACAGTATATACTTCGGGAGCTTCTGTGGCTCTGATTTTTCGTAGGTGGGCCTTTCTGGCTGAGATGGATCCTCCTCCTCTGACAAATCCTCCAGATATCATTCTGATCTCCCCCATAGATTACTGGTGTGGCTCTGGTGCTTGATGCTGAGGGGGTGGGGGTGGGAAAACTTGATTTTGATTATCATTGGCCATATAGCGTCGCAGTTGCCCTCGTCGAATTAGAAATTCTATTTCCTTCTTCAATTGGATACAGTCGTCGATGTGATAACCATGGTCTCTATGGAAGTCACAATACTTTGTAGGATCCCTTTTTGCTGGGTCTCCTTTCATCCGGGGTGGCCACCTTAAGAACTTCTTATTTTATACCTCATACAGTATCTGAGACACTGTAGCAGTCAGGGGGGTGAATTGTCGGGGTGCATACCTCGGTTTTAGCTCTGGTTGTGGAGGGCCGAGGCGATCCCTGACATTTCTCCTTCTCTTCAGGGAACACTCTCTATCTCTTCTTGGAGACCTGCCTCGTCTCTTTCCTTTCTAGGACTTCGTTCTCTCTTATTTTTTTCCTTCCCTTTCTCCTTTCTCCTTTCTCGATGAAGAGCTCCCGACCTTGGAGAGGAGCGCTTCCTCACCATTTATGTACTTTTCTACTTTGGCGAGCACCTCCGCCATACTAGCTTGGGGGTTCTTTGAGATAGAAAACATCAAGTCTTTTTGACTGAACCCCCAGACCTGCTGTAAAGGCTGTAATAGCAAAATTTTCACCTGGGACTTCCATCTTCAAGGATTCTGAGTTGAACCATTGGACATAAGGCCGTAGGTTCTCATCAGGTCTCTGTTTCACATTTAACAAATGGCAGCTCGGTTTCTTATAGGTCCAAACTCCAATGAAGTGGGACACAAACGAGATTGATAGCTCTTTAAAAGAGGAAATGGAGGCTGGGGAGAGTTTGTTGAACCATGCTAAGGCTGAGCCCTTTAGGGTGATAGCAAAGGCCCTGCATCTCACTGGATCTTGATATCCATGCAACTCCATTTGATTTTTGTAGGTGTTGAGGTGGTCTACGGGATCTTTTGTCCCATCAAAAACATCTACCTGCGACATTCTGAATTTAGATGGGAGAGGGAAGTGCAACACCCCAGCAGTGAATGGGGATTCGATTTGCTGCACCAAGGCATCCATAGTGACTAGGGCCTTGCTCTTCACTGCCTCCTTCATCTGACTGAGCTCTTGCTAGATGTCTTTGAAATGTTGCTCCCAGTGGTGTTCTCTTCTCTCCTATTGATAAGGGAAGAAGTCGCTCCTCTCTCCATCCTTATATTGACTTTGCACTTCCTCGTTGTGTCCATTCCTAGGGGGTAGTCGAGGTTCTTGCCCGAAGGTCTGGCTATTCTCTCCCACCTCATTAACTTCTCTGAGGGGGTTGAGGTGCAGTTGCTCTCTTGGTGGTGGGTTATTCTGGCCTCCTTGGGCCAGTCGTGCCTCCGGTGGGCGTTGTAGGAGCTTTAAGAGCTCCTCGTTCTGTTTTATCAGACGTTCATTGACAAGACGAAGGGCCTCCATCTCATCATTCATAGGAAGGCCCCCCATGGGGGGATCTACTTCTTGAGCATTTTTGGGTTGCCTGTTATTTGCGACTTCCTGTTGATTTTGCATCCGTAGAGGATTGGTCTGACTTCGGCTCATGTTTCGCGTTGATACCATCAATTACTGAAAAATCAGCTTTATTTGTAACAGGAACAATCGTTCCCACAGACGGCGCCAAACTGATGGTGTATTTCAACGTGATGAGAATTTGTGATGACGAGTAAATGAGAGAAAATAATATTGGAATTGTTGGGATCTGAGCTACTAGACTCGAGTGAATGATACTGAGAATTGTCAGAGAATTGAGGAATTAACACAGTAGGAATATAGTGGTTCACCAGCTCGGGAGCTTGGCTAATCCACTATTTAATGGAGACTCTTGCTCCTTGTCCTTCAATAATGATGATTGCAAGAGTACAATGGCTAGTTTTTGCCTCTAGGGTTCCTCTCGTTCCTTGGGGGCGTTACATAGTATTTATAGGGCTGTTCCCTATTCAGTGAGATTTTAGCCGAGATTCTTGCCCTTATTTCGTGGGGTTCTCATTGATTATAGGAGAAGATCTTGGTTGGTTGCGATTAGGTGCCTCGATTATTGCTTCCTAACGCTTTTTGGAACCTCTCGTGATCTTCCAGCTGTTGCCTTTGTTGTTATTGCCCTCGCTTATCTCGAAAGGAACCCCAGCTCTACTCTTCCAAGTTCTGTTCATCTAGTCTGACCTCCTAGGCTGAGCTGATCTTCTGAGCTGACGTTTGAGATTTATTTTGAGGTATCATCAATAATAATGTCACCTTATGTCTTAACAGCCAAAATGAACGGGGGTTGATGCTCACAATCTAGCATTCTGGTGTCATCTATTACTCTTTGGTGGGGTTTAGAGGTAATCCATTCATCTTAAGTTTCCAATTGCTAGTCATACATTTGCCCTTTGGTGCAGTTTAGTCCTTCCATCTTGTTAGCATTTAGTGGCCAAAAGCCTTTAAGTATAGTTATCAAAATCAGACCAGACATCGAACCGACAGAGGGACTTGATCAGTTGTTTAATGGTTCAACCACTGGTTCAACTAGTTGGACCTGACATTTAGTGGCCAGAAGCCTTTAAGTATAGTTATCGGAACCGGACCAGACATCGAACCGACTGAGGGACCTGATCAATGGTTTAATGCTTCAATCACTGGGTTAACTGGTTGGATCGGTCGAATAATAAAAAAAATTAAAAAAAATATAAAATATAATAATGTAGCTAAAAAATATAAAACATGTACCTAATACATATAATTTACCATAAATTAATTAAGTATAAAAAAAATACCTGTGTTAAAAATGAAAAATACTGTTAAGAAAATTTTGTTTTTAATATTAGTTGACAAGAATACTAAAAAAAAAAATCCAGTTAACTTAACCAAGTAACTTAACATCAGTTAACTTAACCAAGTAACATCAATAGCTGTTGAACAACCTATTATGATACAAGACCTATGAAGCTTGAGCAATAGACTGTGACTTGTGAAGCTTGAGGCTTGAGCAATAGGCTGTGACCCGTGAAGCTTGAGCAAAGAGGCATTGAGTGGGCTTGAGCAAAGAGAGATCGAGTGGAGATCTGTGAAGCTTGAGCAAAGAGAGATTAAGTGGAGACATATGAAGCTTGAGCAAAGAGAGATTGAGTGGAGAAGGTGTTGCTCGATTAGACCTGAGTGGAGAAGACGATGGAGTGAAGGTTGATCTGTGGAGAAGACGAAGGAATTGCTCGATCAGACCTGGTCCACCAACGCCTGAGTGGAGAAGAGGATGAAGATGACTGAATTTGGGGGTTTTTATGAAAAAGGCGGAAGAACCGCCCCGTTTGACTAAACTGTCCGATTCATGGTTTTTGTCAAAAATCGGCCGATTTGATGGTTTTATTCTGATTTAGCTCCTTAAGCGGTTTAATTCAAGAACCGGACCGGCTGAAGTCCCGTTCATGGTCTAATCGGTCGAACCGGCCGGTCTGGTCCGGTTCTGATAACTTTGCCTTTAAGGCTTGGAACTAAAAGTCTCCTAGCCATTTAAGGCATGTCTGGATAGAATTCAATGCCTATCTAATGCGCATGACTTATGTAGGTTGGCTACATGTGGGCTACACAAGAAAAAATTAGCTCAGCCATGGATGCTCAGTTCAGGCACAAATTTGCACTGATATTAAGCTTTGTCCATTTCCTCTCACAATTCCGTATATAGAGGGAGGTCCTTGGCAGAAGTTTAGCATCAGAAGCTTGAGTGACTTCAAGCATCAAAGCTTGAAGAGTTCAAGTAATAAGAGTTTCTTTGAGTGATATTATCAGATTTGTGAGTAACAACAGTGAGATATCACAGTGAATCTCTTTTGTTAGAGTGAGTATTTATAATGTTTGAAATAATTACCTTATACTCTTGTTTTACTTCATAATGAAAACATTTGATTGTTGTTATCATTGACTTAGACAATAGCTGCCCGAACCGCATAAAATATTTTGTCATGTGCGATTGTTTGTTTTATTTTTTTCACTGAAGTGTGAGTATCAAATTCAATGCCTGACAAAAACATTAAAAGAAAAATAATCTTCGCTTGCCTACTTTTGGGAGAGTATAATCTGGCGGACCCCAAGCATAAGGCCCCCTCCTTTTTTCCTTTATTCTAACCCTTCTTTCCTATTAATCATGGGGATTCTTTACAATTTTTTTCTCTCTTCCTAGCACCTTGCCTTTTTCCAATCTTCCCTCCTTCCAAGCAGATGATTTGTGATGTCAAACAGTTTTTGCTTTTATCTCTTGTTTTCTTGTGCCCAATGGCAGAATATGTCACAATCTGAATATATAGAAAATGCTTTTGTAAATGATCTCTCTCAAAGTAGATAGAAAATATCACGTATCTTTACTTCTTTTCAACTTTCCAAGACCTTTGGAAAAGCCTGAGGGTGGTTAGTCGGTAAACAAAGGGTCTAATACATAATCACAGTAAAAGAAACAGCTAAGTACCTTGCTTGGATTTGCAATCAACATCATTTCTCTGGTTTAGAACTATCGTCGAACACCTCCTGTGCACCTTGATACTTGTACAACCAGGCGCATACAAGATAATACACAATGTTCAACGTTGAAATTGCAGTACACAACCAGTACACATTATCTAGCTTCCCATCATTTATATTGTCTGGTAACCAGGGAGTTACCCTTCGAACAAGATCCATCACGCTGTTGCCCGAATAATAGGAGATACCTATATACAACGCAACCATGGCAGTTGAAGTGCTTTTCAGTGTTGCAGGAAATTCTTGGTAGTAAAATGTAACATTTCCGGGAAAATGAAATGCTTCTCCAATACCAACAATGGCCAACTGGGGCACCAGCCAAAAGACTGACATGGGTACAACCCCACCATTTTGGTCTTGGAGGTGGTGAGATTTTGCCATTTTGAGCCGCCTCGACTCCACCACCGCCGCCACCGCCATGCTGAGACCCGTTAGTACATGGCCAATCCCAACTCGTTTGAGAGGTGTCAGAGGCCGGCCCCTGAGCTTCTCCCAGGTGGGAAACAAGAGTCTGTCAACGAAGGCAACAGTGATGGAACAGGAGATCATTATGAAGACTGTAATGGAACCAGATGGGATTTGGAAACGGCGTCCAAGGTGACGATCCATTGTTAGAGCTTGGATTATTGGCAAGCTTTGTTGGATAACAATTGGGATGCACAAGAATACTCCAGATGTCCATAATGGGAACATTTTGATTAGGCTCTTGAAATCTTCTACTTGTTGCAATGTGCATAGCTTCCAAGGTTTTGCATTGGACCCGTCTGGTCCGATGTCTCCTTCAGTTTTCACTGCTGCACGGTTCAGGAACCTGTATGATAAAGAGGTCAGGCAACTTTTCCTTTGGTCGTAGAAAATAGTATCATGTGGTAATAGAATTGTCAAAAGACGAACCGGAGATATTGACAACCTTGTTAGTGATCTTGTAACGTTGGAAATTCATCTTGTATAAATATTATTTGTTTTGAACCTGGTTTACAGAGTATTAGAATGCAATGCACACATTGTACACAGGGCCGGCCCAACAGCACATTTAAAAAAGTTTGGACTTTAGGCGCCACTTCAAATGAAAGTCTATTTTTAAATACCATAAATATCCTATGTAAAAAATGTCTTATAAAAAATTTAGCCTAACCAATCATTTAGACTCATAGCCCAATCCAAATATTAAATATTTTTAAAAAATTAACAATAAAAAAAAAACTTAAACTTAAAAGTCACATCAAATTAAAAAAAATCAAAAATTTAAAAGTCAAATCATTACCTTAGCTTTCACTCTCTCTCTCTCTAAACTAATAAAAAACAATTCTTTTTTTCTTTCTCCCTCTCGTTAAACTAAAACAAAAAACTTTACTTCTTCTTCTTCTTTTTTTCTCTCTCACACAGTGCTCTCAACTCACAGACTCACAGTAACATGAGACGGTGATTCGGTAGCTCGGTGAAGGTTGATGATGCACAAAATAGTTTTGCACACCACCTGTCAAGTGTCAATAAATAAATGCAAGAAATAATATAAGAAGATGGAGAGGCACAAACAATTTATAGTGGTTCGGTCAACTCGACCTACGTCCACTTTTAAATGACTCTGATCGCCGGGTACTTTATTAACTCAAGGGTGTGGGGAGCAGAGAGTACAAACTTTTTGGGAGAGAAGAGAGTCGTGCTCAAGTAAAAAGTGATGCCCCCAAGTGTTGGTGGGGCGTGCAATTTATAGTAGCCCCCTAACAGGTTTGGGCTATTTTTCAGCAATTAAGCAACCATCTCGGTGGAGCTCACGACTTCTTCTCAACGGGCGAGATGGTTGAGGAGTTCTCCATGAGATACGGTCAAAAATAAGATGAGGGTGGACCGTTTCCTTCTACAGTGCAGGTAAGGCCCCCATGATCTCCCTCTTGATGACATGGCTAAGTAGAGAGTCTGACTGGTCTTGGACTATGTTGGGCTTGGTGGATCTTTAATGAGGTTAGGCTCCTCAATTGAGATTTGGATTTTCCACATAGATTGGGTCATTTGGACTTGACCCATAGTTGAGGATTTCTTCATGAGATACGGTCAAAGATAAGGTGAGTGTGGACCATTTCCTTCTATAGTGCAGGTAAAGCCCCCATGCTTTCCCTCTTGATGACGTGGCTAAGTAGAGAGTCTGACTGGTCTTGGACTATGTTGGGCTTAGTGGATCTTTAATGAGGTTGGACTCCTCAATTGGGATTTGGACTTTCCGCAGAGATTAGGCCATTTGGATTTGACCCATCATTTGTCCCCCAATGCCCCGTGTTCAAGGAAACTTGGAGAGAGGTGCATTAGTTTGCTCCTTAAGTTATAAATAGTGGAGACCTCCTCTACTAGATGACTCTTTCCCTCTACAATGCATTTTTACTTTGCATGCTTCAAGTTTTTTCCATTTTTGCTAGGATTTTTAGAAGAGCCCATAACTTTTAATTTGACATTTTTCCTCTTTAAAAACCCTAAGCTATAAATATGACCTTCTTCTTCATTCTACCCATTTCATTCACTTAGAGATTGAGCACCTATCTCTTAAAAACCTTGAGAGCCCATTCTTGTGAGCTAAGTTCTTTCCATTCCATTGAAACTTGAGAGAAAGGAGGCAAGGCTTGAAATATTTCAAGATCATTTTGTTGGTATTCTTGGATGGAGTTTTTGAAGTGGGCATTGGAGATTTGAAGGAGGTGGGATAAAAAAGCTCCATTGGTGCCATGAGAAGTGGTGAAATTAGGGCTGAAAAAAGTCATCTTAGAGCCTTTGGGGGTTGTAAGGGTTGATGGAAGAGAAGGGGGAAAATCCCCGTTGGCCGCCGCTGCTGTGCCCGCGCACCAGCAGCCCGCACAAGAGCTATTATAGGCATTGGTTCAGGCGCCTCACATGTGGGTTTTGGTGTTTTTGGCAAAGTTTCCAACCTAGGTAGGCACGCAGGAAAAATGATAGACATCATAGGGGAGATGGGTAGCAAATTGGAGGCTGTCCTGGACAGTTCTGGCGCGCTGGGCAGCTGCCTGGGTGCTGTTTCTGCTGTCCTGGACAACTCAGGCACTGATATTGCTGTCTTGGACAGTTCACGCATGCTGGGCAACAGCCTAATCGCTGATTCTACTATCCTGGGCAGCTCAAACGCGTTGGGCAGCACTGATTCTGTTGTCCTGGGCAGCTTACAAGCGTTGGGCAACAACTTTTTTTCAGTTGCAGGTGCAGGAAACCGGCCCAGGGAGCAGCGGGGAGAGCTGGGCAGCAGCCTGGGTGCAGAGGTTGATCTGGGCGCCAAAAGTGCTGTTTTGTGCAATTTTGAAGGGCCAGGCACCTCTCCAGCTGTTGGGCTGCTCTGTTTTGGGAAGCAAAGGCGGTCAGGCACCCCTCCAAGTGTTGGGTTGCTTCGTTTGGACGGGCAAAGGTGGTCAGGCACCCCTCCAAGTGTTGGGTTGACTCGTTTGGACGAGCAAAGACGGTCAGCACCCCTCCAAGTGTTGGGCTAGACACTGTACGCGACAAGGAAGCTTTGAATGCTGTTTTTGATGAACAGGACCAGACTGTGACTCCTCCAATCTAAGCTCCTCAAGACTACCCAAATGGTGGCTTAGACTACTCCCTACAGCCCCGAAAGAAGAAACACAAAGGCAAAGTGGGACTCGATGATGATGGGTCTAAGGTAAGTACCATTTTTAGTATGTTCCATTCGGATGAAAATATCTTGAGGCTTGTTTATACTTATCGCATTCCTCCGACCGTGCTATGCCATCAGGCTGAGTTGGGCGAGCTTACTTGCGATGACTCTTCTAGTGATATTGTTGTTTACGAGAAGATGCTTAAGGCTCGACTAAGATTCTCCATGTCCTCTCCCTTTTGTCGTATTTTGCATTACTTTTCCTTGTCTCTGGGGCGATTAGCACCCAATGGTTGGAGAGTTTTGCTGGGCTTTCTTGCATTATGGAGGAAAGTGCACCATGAGGATGCTTCTCCTGTAGAGTTCCACGCAGCATACAATTTGAGCAAAACTCCTGCATCAAATAAGGGATGGTACTAGTTTACCACAAGAAGTGGTACAGTGCTCACCGGAATGTGCTCCAATTGTCACGGCTGAAAATGTTGCTTCTTCTTTGTTGGTGGAGAGTGGGCTGCAGAAACCGACAGAGCTTTGGTGCCAATACGGTGGGGTGCTGTCAGAAAACCCGGTACGCTGCACATTTGCTTCTTCTTTTTTTTTTTTTTTTGGTGTATGTGTGCTCACCATTCCCTTGCAGACACGCCTGTGCTTTCTCAAGACCAAGAGTGAAAGTTGGAGGCCGTCAAGGCTTGCCCTTACAAAGATTTGGGAGCTCTTCTACCCAAGGATACTAGGGCCGTTGCTCCCTCCCTGAAATCTGGTGGTTCCTCTTCAAAGAAAAAGGGTGAGTTAGTTTTCTCCTTTAATTTTTCCTTTCCCTTGGTATTTTTCACCTCCCTGCCACTTTATTGTTTTCGCAGTAAGCAAAAGGGTGATAGTGTCTCGCTATTCTAGTAGGAGTCCTCCTTCTTCCAAGGTGGCGAGGACGGGTGATGCCCCCTAAGTGGCTCCTACGGTGGTGCCTCCTCAGTCGGCGACTTCTTTGGTTGCTACTCCAGAGTCTTCCTTGCCAGGCACACCTTCTGCCCCTTCTTCGTCCCTTCCTCGTGCGGGAACTTTTACTCGGGTGCCGATTAGGTCTGGTCCCATGATGGGGAGACCGCCGGTCATCAGGGAAAGGCTTGAGAGGTTTGTGTTTGGACCCGAAGTTTCTTAGCTTAGTACTTTGGGTACCGAGGGGGTTGTTCACACATATTTGGAAGGCCTGGTTCAGGTAAGGGTCCGCTATTTCCCTTTCTCCAGTCCTTTCTTGTGTCTTTGACCTTTCTTTGTCTTTTATCTTCTTTCAGGTTCTGACTTCATCTATCTGCTTGCTTTCAAGGGCCTATAATCATGACAAGTAGCAGCTGGATCTTGAAGTCGTGCAAAAGGAGCTTGTTATTGCTCAAGGGAGGATTGCCGAGTTCGAGGCAGTTGGTAATACTTCTCGGGATGAGCTTGTGGCAGCTCATGAGAGGGCATCCAAGCTTGAGTCTGAGCTTTTGGTGACCCGTGAGAGGGACGCGCTCAAGAAGGGTCAGCTTATTGAGGCTTGTAAGCGGGCAACTAAGCTTGAGGCTGAGCTTCTGGCAATCCACGAGAGAAACGCGCTCAGGGAGGCTGAGCTTGTAGAGGCCCATGAGAGGGCCATGCTCAGAGAGGCTGTTGCTGCGGAAGCAGAGTTGAAGGCTGCTCAGGAGAGAGCTTCCTGTGTTGAGTGATTAACCATCAAAATTATTATTTTATTATATTTAATGATTGATTAATTGCATATTATTTGTGATTAAATGTGTTGAATTCCTTGATTTTTTAGTTTGATACTTTTTCTAGTTATTTGGTTTATTTTACAGGTAAATTGATTAATTTAAAGTAATAATGGGTAATGCAAGTGAATCAATCACTAGAGGAAGAATCGCATTTGATAAGATTAAAGAGTCAATATTGAGATATGAAGACTTGAAGATATGACAACAATTTAATCCTTCTAAGAGTCCAAGATGGAAAAAAACTCATTTAAAGTTGAATTAGGAAAGTATCCTAAAAGAATAAGGATTTGACACGTCTTTAGTATTCTGGTCATAACTTTTGACTCTGATATCCTATTTACTTGATTTTTGGGGGTTGGAAAGAAGACTTCAAGGGCTACAAAAGTGTATTTCACAAAAATATTGTGATTGAGCCTCTAAATATGCGAAATCCAAGCTCGAAGTCTGGAGAGA